AGTCCAGCACAATACTGAAAAGAAGTACTTGTTTTTAAGCTATATTTACAAAACATAAATACCTATAAGTGGACATTTGAAATAATTTTACTTACATAAACTCACCTCCAATAACAGAGCAGTTAGGAAGAGGAATTAAACTTAATTATAGCCTAGGATACAAAATAACACCGAGAGAAGCAAACCTTGGGAGCACGGCTAAAGGAAGGTGCTGGCTTTACTAGCATGTGTTGTAAACAATTCCAGATACCTATATTAGATACCAATTATTTTCCCTCTTTTTTATTTTTTTCCTGAAAATATTAACACTGAAATGGCTTAGTAAGTGAAAAATCTAAAAGGGGACTACAATAGTGTATGTGTACACACTGCAAAAATAAGCACATATATTGAATATAGACACACACATATATGCACACAGAGGCGGCTGACTTTCCTTCCAGTTTGAATTCCCAGCCTCCTAATGCTTATTACCAATAGAAAAAGGGAGCACCTGCCGCCACATTTGCTGCTGTCACTGAGAGAGGAGACGGTCTAAGGCCAGCCTTTGCCTTTTTTCCCAGGGACCAATTATCCCTTTCCCAACACCAGCCTAGATCTGTTTATCCAGGGGTTTAGGCATCCTGCCTATTTCTAAGTAAAAAATTCTTCTCTAAACCAAATTTGCGTTAGAACACAAAGTTGAGAAAATAAAGGTAAAGCAAAGGAATACATTTTATTGTAGATCATTTTTTAAAGTCAAGTAACATGAAAATGAAAGAGTATATACACACTGACTCTAATTTTAGATTGGGGCCATGATATTAGGAACAATTTAGAGAAAGAAAAACGATTTGAGAAAGAAAGCCATTTATCTCTCTACTTTAGTAAGCTAAAGACTCATCTAACCTATGTACAGTTAACACTTTAGGAATCTTATGAATCACACACTTTAGGAAGGGTTGGATACAGAAGAGAACTGTGGCAATGGTGACTAAGTGACAGACATTGAGTCTCCAGATATTAGTCTGCTCTATATGGAGTCCTCAATCCTAGTGTAATGAAGTAGGAAAAATAAATAGCAGCCTGAACTTCATAGGATTTCTAAAAGTGGATATATATAAATATGAATCAAAACTTTTACATAAGCAAAAGCAACGTAAAATTTTATAAAGCACTATTACTCAATAGTTCTTGCATTTTCTAATATATTTTATTAGATGGATAGAAATAAATTCCAGTCATACATTCTTGGGTTCATTGGGACAAATACTTACCAGGCTATTCTTAAGTACATTAAGATTAATTGTCCAACAGACCTGCCTGAAAAAAAGCCATGTGGGGTAAAAGGAAAAGGCACAGAACTAAGGGTTAGTTCCTACCTCCATCATTAAGCAACTGTTAGATCCCCACCATGTCCTTCATTTCAACAATGTGGCATTTGATATTTCCAAAGTGAAGTCTTTGAACAACATAACTTTTAGCTCTAAAATGTTGTTCGTTCTCATGATCACTTTTTAAACATTTATTTCTACCAAAGTGATACATACTCAAGACTGCTTTCTAAAGGTCATTCTCTAAGATAAAAAGGTCAATATAAAGATTTTCTCACTTCACTTATGGGATAAGATACAAAGAAAAGAAAAGAAAAAAAAACACAACACAACTATTGGTTTGTATAAAGAAAAAAATAGAGCCCGTCTGGTGTGGCTCAGTAGTTGAGCATCAACCTAAGAACTTGAAGTTCACAGTTTGATTCCCAGTCAAGGTATTGGCCCAGGTTGTGGTCTCCAGTAGGTATACAGGAGGCAGCCAATCATGATTCTTTCTCATCCTTGATGTTTCTATCTCTCTCCCCCTCTCCCTTGCTCTCTGAAATCAATAAAGAAAATTTTTTTTCAAAAAAATAGAGATGAGAATGTGTTCCTCCTTTAATTGGCTTTTAATAACCAGAATTCCTATGAATCAGAATTCTATAAATCCTTTATACAGTCATTTCTTAAATCCAAATCAGTCTGGTTCTATACTATGCTCCTTTCTTTTACCTGTTTCTCTTCCAAGTTTATTATGATGACAAAAATGCTTTCTGACGTAATGTTATCATACTTTGAAAAAATGTAATGATATTTAACTTATTAGCTATCAGATGTAAGTAAGTTACTCTTCTCTTCAATGTCTAAATGTGTAAAATAAAGATAAACAATCTCTCTCAAGATTGTTGAAAAGATTCAATAATATACATGGAAGTATGGTTAACTAGCATAAAAGCACTTTCAATAAGCACTTGTGTTTTATTTTTATTTTATTTTTTTATATTTTTTTTAAGCCTACAGCACCCGGTATTCCCAGGCGGTCTCCCATCCAAGTACTAACCAGGCCCGACCCTGCTTAGCTTCCGAGATCAGACGAGATCGGGCGAGTTCAGGGTGGTATGGCCGTAGACCAGCACTTGTGTTTTAAAGTTTTGACAATTATCTACAAAAGTTATTGAAACACCTCATTCCCTAGTTATCAGCATATTTACTCCAAAAGATGTAGCCAAAAAATAATACAAATAGAATGTTTAAATCATGCAACTGTTAAGTATTATTTTTAAAATTCTGTAAATATGTATTGAGCATTTACTATGTGCCAGGTACTATAATGCTAGGGATCCAGAATTCAGTGATTAAGACATTGATACCACCCCCAAAAAGCTCATAGTCAAAAAGCATATACAAGGAGCAGGATGAAGCAAATGTTTCATTATCTACATAGCGAAAAGAGGAAGTAGCTAAAATATCCTGGAAAAAGGAAAGAGTAGTTCTGTAGGCAAAGACTGGGTTTTTAAAGCCTAGCTCAGCCATTTACTAGCTCTGTGATTTGGAGCAACTGAATTTACCTCTCTGAGCTTCTTCGTAAATCTACTTTGGAGAGTCATTCTGGAGATTAGAAATAATATATGTGAAGTACCTGGTACATGGCAGAAATTATTTTTCATTGTTTTAGGATTTGTTTTTAATAGACCAAATTTAAGAGGTATGGTGGCTAGCATATCTTAACTAATTATTAAGCTACATATGTCACCAGAACCAAGAAGGCCATAAAGAACCACATCAGAATGTCACCACTTCCAAAGTCCGAACTGATGTGGTTCCTAACGTGGTACACCCAACCTGCTGGTGAAACATATTTCTAATCTATTTCCTTCTCCATTTTTACTCTAACAAACAATTTTGCATATTCACACTCTACTCTTTTCCATTTATTCCCCAGGTCCACTTTAGTCCTAGTTTGGGACGTTCTGTATATCCTCCAGGAAATGGCAACGTCCTATGAGCAGCTTGTGATTATTAAGATTGTATTAAGAGATAATTAAAGCTAACTCTGGACTCAAACTATTATTACTAACCTAATGGTTGACTTGCAGAACTAGAAGCTGCTAAATAATAGTTAGAATCTTAAAGTAAATATTTTAAAATATTGTAAAATCCTGCCAAGAGGTAAGTTACATTTACATTTTCTCTGTTCCCCAAAGCTATTTTTTCTAAATACTCTAACTGAAATATAACATTTGAAATATACACAATGAACAAATATGAGGCAAAGCCATAGTTAAAAGGCAAAGCAGTCTATCCCTAAATTCTACTGAATCATAAAGTGGTATTGTCATAAACTTGTCAACATAGTTTTTCAGAACTGAGAACATGTTCCTATCTTTAAAACATCATGTAAGGTAAGTTTGCTCCAAGTTAAATAACCATGTATTAAAACTGAGGACATCATGAATCAATCCAGAACTTTAATTTTATAGCTTCCACATTCAAGAAAACCAGTGTATCTAAGTCACCTTGTGGTATGTAATTTTTTAAAAAACAATCTCTATGAATATCCATATCATACCAGTTAAATTTACAGTATACTCTTCCTACTCTTAGCCAGTATGACATAATGCATTTTGAAATACTAAAGTTCCATTAAAATTAGCTGCCTTATACATTTTCAAGAATCAAATCCTGGGCATGTTTTAAAGTTTTTTTCTCTGGGGATAAGGCACTGAGGAGTCACCAAACTGCAAAAGAATCTTTCCTGTAAATACTAATCTTTAGAGGATCTTTTTAAAATTCAGAACTCAGAATATTAGCAAGCATTTCCACATTAACAAACCCAGAAGTTTCTTCACAAAGCAAACCCAGGCATCCTATAAAAATGAGTATTACTGCTCATTTTTACAACTATAAATTGATGTTAATTATTGTAATGTAGTTCAGTCCAATTCCCTCCCAAGAGCCTTGAGAACGAAGGGAAATGCATAAAATTATCAAATGTCACAGGAGCAGCAGCTTGAGGCCAGAAGGGGAGAAAGAGAGACAGACAGACAAAAGGAAATAGGATAGAGAGGAGATATACGGTGGAAACTAAAATGCTTATAACCACTAGACCTTGGCCCAGACCACCTGACCCACTGTAATCTACTTAATGTCATCTATCTTTTAAAAAAAAAAAAAAGTTAACAATGGAAGCAAATTGATCCTAAGCAGGAAATGTAAGCCCTGCGTTCAATTTGAGATTTGCCAGAAAGAAAAAGAGCTCAACAGAAAAAAGACCTAAACAATAAAAAGCGCTGTGCGTGTACGAGTGTGTGCGCTGGTGCGGGAAGAGGGGGTGAAGAAAAGCTAACTGTGCTCAAGTCTCAGCACAGATGCTGTTCCGCGAGTAACTACGGAAGGCGGGGCCGCGGGCCCTCCCTCCGCACGGCGGGGGCCGGGGGTCCTGGCTTCCCCCCGCACACACACTCTGGAGAAGGGGAAGCCCCTGAGCGCGGGGCGAACCGGTGGCGGCCGTCGGGGCGCCTGGATCCCGCGCGGACGCGGACCCAACGAAGACCTCCCCGGCCGGGTCCCGGGACCGCGATCTCCCGAGGAGGCGCGCCCGGGGTGGGGCGGCCAGGAGCGCTTCCTCCGCCGTGGAGGGAGGAAGCAGGCGGCGAGGGGGGAGGCACCGCACCCCCGTCCCCTCCCCGGCGGCGGCGCATCAATTACCCGTGAGGTTCCTCAGCACCGTCCCGTGGGCCCAGAGGCTCAGGACCTGCTGCACCGACAGGTTGATCATGGAGTGGTCACCCGCCTCCGCCTTCATCTTCCCGGGGGGGCGCCCGCCGCCTTCTCCGCGGGCGCCGAGGGGCGGCGGCGGGGGCGAGGCTCCGGGGGCGGCGGCGGGTGCGCGGCTCCTCCAGGCCGCCGCCGCCGGGCAAGGCTGCGGGGCTCCGGGCCGGGCGCTGCTGCTGCTGCTGCGGCCGACGGACCTCCGCGGGGGGCCGCTCAGCGCGTCTCCTCCCAGGCAGCCCCCTCCCCGCCGCGGAGACATTGAGGACGGCGGACGGGGGAGGGGAGGGGGCCCGGCGCTGTCCCCGCGCGGCCCCCCAGCGAGGACGCGGTGCGGAGGAGGCCGCCGCCGCTCCCTCTCAGGGGCAGAGCCGCGCCGCGGGGACCGGGCGCGCTGGGAGGCCGAGGTCAAGCCGGGAGGCGGGGAGTGATGGGCAGCCGGCAGGTGCTGCCCCCGGAGGAGTCCCACGCATCACCTCCGGAGGATCCGGAGAGTCGGGATACGGGGGAGGCTGAGGCGGCAGCCCGGGCGGCACCTGCCACCGGCCTGCCCACCCTCCAGCCGCCGACACTCGAGGAACCGCCCCCTCCACCCGCGGCCGCCGGCGGGCCGCTCGTGCGCGCGCGCACGGGTCCCCTCCTCCCTCCCTCCGCCGGCCCGGCTGCGCATGCTCAGTCTCCCCCTTCCCGCGACCCGCCGCCCTCGGACACCGGGCCGGCCCCTGAGTCCTCCTCCCTCCCCTCCCCGCGCGGAGCTCGCGAGGCCGACAGCGCCGGGAGCCACCGCAGTGGGGTGGGGAGAAGCGCAGTTGCGTCACTAGCGCCACCGCCGGCTCCGCTGCTGATTGGGTGCTGCGAAGACCCGCCCCCGCACTCCCCGCCCCTCACCCGGGCGCGCGCCCTGGGAGCCGCATCCCTGGACCCGAGGCGCTCTGGGCGTGCGGAGTGGCCGTGGGCGCTGAAGACCGAGCCTGCAGGGCCACCCCGGCCTAGGACGGGGGAGCAAACGGTACCAAACTTCCTGAGACGCTTTCTGCGGTAGTTCAGATCTTTGGCTCCTCATGAAACACTTTTGACAACAAATGTTTGCATCCTTTTTTAAATGGCTTAAACAACTCAACATTTTACATGTATTAATTGAGGGTTTTTTGTGAGTCAGGTGAGCTGGATATATATTTTATATTTTAAAGCTACTAAATATATTTTAAATTTTAAAGCTATATATTTTATATTTTAAAGCTACTAAATATATTTTTTAAGCTACTAAAACGGAAAGAGACTCCCTTCCTCATTCACCCAGTCCTTCTGGCAGCAAGAACTGGGGCCTCCTGTGGTTCCAGGTCCCCAAATACTTAGTGACATAGGGTTCAGCGCCATTCCCTGATCTAGCTCTTTTTGCATTGCAGTTTTTTTTTTTATTTAAATTGTAAAAGCAAACAACATTAAAAAAAAAAAAAAAAAAAAAAAAACTTTCGTTATTTTTTTCTCCCCTAGGACTTAAACTTTCTTCCTTTTGTTTGCTACGTTTTTTCATGCCCAAACGTTAGCCTGAGGAGCTATCTATTATAACTTCCAACTATGACAAACTAAACTCCTTAAAGTTTGAAACCTTTTAACTTGAAAAATAAAAATTAAGTTTTGGTCATAATATAAATATGCACTAGCCACTGCCATTCCCAACTCCATCCTTTTCAATGGCTCTGCCATTGTAAATAAAAATGTACTAAAGGAAGGGAAGTTCATGCTGTAGCAAAAGCAAGTATACTCAGCAAAACCTGTAGGGTCGAATCACCTGTACAATGGTACTTTGGTGACCACTTTTAAAACAGTAATTATACATTCATACATATTTATGTATGTGTATATATAGTAGATGTATTGGTGTCACAACACACAAAAAAAGGGAAATTGTTGTATCACTAGTAGGAATTGGACCCAAATAAATAATGTAGAGTTTATCTTCCCCCTAGTAGTTAAAATTACCTAGATCTTAATTAATTAAAGATTATAGAATATCAGACTTAAAATTGGCCTTAGCATTTTTCTAATTCATTTTATTTAATAGATAAGGAAATGGATTCTGCAGGATTCAGTTTCTTGACATAGGTAACACCACTTCAGAGGCTAGTTTATGAATTCCCCGTCTATTATTTTTGTATAGCAACCACACTGTGTTTCTTACTATTAATCCATAAATTTAAGATTCTGGATGTGGAGGTGCAGGCTATGTGATGGTGGTATTAAGAGAGTCGATATTATATGAGTAGTGGCATTTTTAAAAATCATGCAACCACCATCCAGTGAAGTGTTCATAGCAAACTCTGAGCAACAGCTCATTAAACTCTCACATCAGGAACTTTTAGTTGGTTTGGAACAATTGGGATTCTCAGTATTGTTCACTATTGTTTAAAACATAGCATTCATGCTCATTGCAGCAGTATTTACAATAGCCAAGATCTGGAAATAGCCCAAGTGCCCATCAGTAAATGAGGGGATTAAAAAAACAAAACAAAAAACAAAAAAACAAACTGGTACATTTACACAATGGAATACTACTTGGCCATATAGAAGAAGGAAATCTGACCTTTTGTGACAGTATGGATGGATCTAGAGACTATTATGCTATGTGAAATAAGCCAGTCAGAGAAAGACAAATACCATATGATCTCACTCAGATGTTGAATCTAATGAACAAAATAAACTGATGACCAAAATAGAAACAGAGGCATGGATACAGACTGACAGATGTCAGAGGGGAAGCGGGATGGGGGAACTGGATGAAGAAGGTGAAGGCATTAGAAAGACGCACATACATAACACACAGACACAGAAAACAGTGTGGTGATAGCCAGAGGGAAAGGAGGGTGAGGTGTGTGGAGGTGGGCAAAGGGGGCAGGGGGAGACTGACAGAGACTTTGCTTGGGCCAATGGGGACATGATGCAGTGCAGATGATGTTTTATTGAGTGTGCACTTGAAACTGGTATGGTTTTGTGAACCAATGTCACCTGAATAAATTCAATTAAAAAAAGAAAAGAAAATATTCAGAACCTGGGACAGTGCCTAGCACATGATGTTCAATAAATATTTGCTGAATGAATGTCATAGAAAGTCAGCATTTTCCTTGTTTCACATAATTTTTTAAATGTAATTTAAGTATTGATTTTAGAAATGAGAAAGTAAGACACAGCAATGAAGCCTCTGGTCCAGCAGCCATCAACCTTTTTCACCTCATGGCACACATAAACTAATTACTAAAATTCTGCAGCACACCCAAATATATTTTTTGCCAATCTGACAAAAGTGAATTAAAAAAAAACACACTAGGTATTATTTTGATTCATTCACACCAGGTGGCCACTGTTGTGTTGGTTGTTGTCATTTTTATTTTTTATTTTTTTTATTTTTTACAATTTAAAGGCAAAGAGGTCAGTGCCCCTGACTAAAATCATCTGGGATTGCATGTTTTTAAAATTCTGTCTGCTCACCGATTGAAAATTGCTGCTCTAGTCCATAATGCACTTCCCCTGCTTTTTAGTTTCATTCAATTTAATAAGTATTTATTTGGCATCTATTACTTATAATGTTCTATGCTAGGCATTGTGTATAGGATTTGAATATTAATAAGTTCTCTACTCTCTAGGCTAATTCATTGCATTTAACTTATATTAGGCTAATGATACCCCCTGTGTTGGAAGGCAGTACTCTTAAGGGAATTGAGCATTTTCTAACAGCCAAAGCTATAAAACACAAAAGTGAGTTAATGAAATGAAAATTGTGTAGTTTCTCTCCTTGCAGATTTTAGATATTGCATTAATACAACAATCAATGAATGCTTTTGTTACATTATTGCCAGAAATCAGGGAACACCCCAAATGACTCCTAAAAGTCTTTTTCAGCCCTGCCCTTCAGTTTAAAATAAGCAATTTATGAACAGTTCCTGGTTTATTTATTACATACAACTGAGGGTTCACTCATAAGTCTTATCCATACTATTAAATGCCCAGATAGAGCACAGAATAAAGCTTTTAAAATCAGTTAGACTACACAATGATATTGATCCTTAGAGGAAATGTCCTTAAAGTCATTTTTTTCCTCCACTTAATTATCTTTTTTAAAAAAATATATTTTATTGATTTTGTACAGAGAAGAAGGGAGAGAGATAGTTAGAAACATCGACTAGACAGAGTCATCGATCAGCTGCCTCTTGCACACCCCCCACTGGGGATATGCCCGCAACCAAGGTACATGCCCTTGACCAGAATCGAACCCGGGACCCTTCAGTCCCCAAGCTGACACTCTATCCATTGAGCCAAACCGGTCTTGGCTTTATTATCTTTCTTGCTGTACGATACTACATAAGAATTGTTAGAGGTGTTAGAAGCACCTCACCATCACCAGAGAGATGTTACTGGACAGCCCCCTCAGTCAGTGGGAGAGGGCTGAGCTCAACCTCGATCCTCATTGAATTTATCCAAGAGACTTTGCATTGTGAAAAGTCAATTAATTAAAGCATGCACCATAATTGAAAAAGCAAAGCAAGCAAGCAAGCAAACCTATACATCTGCCTTACAAAGCACAAACAAGCTCTCAGCCAATCTGTAAAGCAGTTTGGATGGGGGTTCGAGGTGTTATATACCCCCCGTGTATAAGTTTTAAAATTGATTTGCTGAATATTTTGTTACAGATTAATTCTCAAGGTCCCCCCTTTATTTGTTTGTTTGTTTGTTTGTTTTTACTTTGTTGTGGCCTTCCCAGAATTCATGAGAAGCACCTGGCAACTTTATCATGCCAAGCCTTGAGACTGCTGGCTTCTCTACTTAGGAAGTTAAACTGCCCTTTTTGCCTTTCCATTTTCCCTCTTCCCTTTCTGCATTCTCACACTAGAGAGGATTTTTAACCATTTGCTCTCATGTCCTTGTCTGGGGAAGATAATGGCTGGCTAGTTACAGGGCAGCTGCAGATTGCCCACACCGTTCGGCCTTGTTTTAACTTCTCTGTCTCAGTTTCTCTATTCCTCCTGCCCTGGAATCCTGTAACAAAATGACAGAAGGAAGAGGAAGAAAGCCATTCATATCAATCCAAACTGTGTACTGTGCTGAAACTTACATGTTGAAATGTTTCTCAAAACACCTATTAGTGTCAAGAAACATTTATTTCCATCACAGTAAATCGGAGAAACAGGGTAAAGAGGATTTTCCTTCTGTGAAAACTCTGACTCTAAAAACGATTTTGCAAACTGACATCAGAATTAGAAGAATTCC